TAACCAGTGTATATATATATATATATATATATATATATATATTTGAAAGCGTATTTAAAATTCTTGAAATGTTTTAAAAGCTTATTTAAAAATCTTGTTGTTGTTAATAACTATATGTTTTTTATGGTCATCTATAAGAGCTATTTTAATGTGCTAATTCTAATATTTTTAATTCTGTTTCTGTCGGAATTTCAATTTATAGCAATCACTAAAGACAAATATAGATATCCCAGAAAGAGATACAATGTGAGTAATTCACCTCCATTTTGGCTCTAACAGTTTCATAGGAATCATAAGTAGTGGAATAAGAACTTTCCGTGGGAAGAAGAATTATGTTGTGCCTGGTAGGGAAAGATTTTTCTATCTGACTTTCTAATTCCTGCGAGAATAAAAAACATAAAAATAATCAGTGAGCAATGCAATCTGAAAAGAAATACTAAAGAAAGTAAGTGCTTTTTGTTAAAAAAAATCACAATATCAATCTATTCCCACGCCATCTTGGACTTAAGTAAATGTTTGAATTTACGCTTTCTTGATTTTTCTTTTTTACAACATTTTGATGATTTTGTAATTCAAAAAATATTTAAAATAAATAGGAAAGATTAGGAATAAGAATTGAAATATTAAAATACATAATATATTATTAACAAATAATTCTAGATTCGGAGAAATATAGCTTAAAAAATTTTAGAATTTCCATAAATTTTTTAAAAAATGTAATGCAATAAAGTAGTGCAATTTGTAGTTTTGAGTAATTTAAATTGACACATTTGTCGATTTTTAGATTGAAAAAAACTAAAGGAAAAAACTAAAAAAACAAACGGAAACCGATAATGATGATTCGAAAAAAATTTCGTTTACGTAAATTACTAAAAAATAAATGTATTTATCGAAAAACCTAAAAACAGACAAATGTATAATATTAAATTATCTTCCTAAAAAATTTGAATGCCGAATCGTATAGGTATAATTTTGTAAGAAAAAAACTGAATAAATCATCTTAAATACCAGGCGTAATCGTGCATTTTTGGTAGAAATTAAGTAAGGAAAAAGAAAAAAAAAAGAAGATAAAAATGTGAAGTTTGCTGCATTTTGAAAAATAAAGTAAGATATTTTCCTAGCTATACTTCAAAATTAGTAACAATTCCATCAGCAGTTGGTGCACCTGACTAGGAAAACTTTAAAGCATTTTTTTCAGTTTGTTTTGTCTTCAGACTGCACCACGATTTTGCTGCAAATTGTGGTGCTTTTGAAAAAATTATTTTACAGTTTTTCTTAATGGCGCCATCTGTTATCAAACTTAGTAATTAATTTTTAAAATTTTTGTTAATAAACCAATTTTACTAAGCAGAATGCATCACAAAGTAGATTTTTTTTTATCTACTTTCATGTTTATGAAGTTGATTTTTAAAAATTGCTGGACATCTTTGAGCTAATCGCTAAGTAGTAAGAATACTTATTTCATTAAAGGTGCCATCTTGAGAGTCTTGGAAACAGCTTGGCTCGAATAAAAAAAATTTGGTTTTATTTATCAGTTGGTTTTTAATAAATTAGTCAATTTAATATCTGATTTCCCAGATGATATGTAGAACTGAACTCGCTTAGAAAAATAAAAGAACAACATTCTTTTCACAATCTACTTACCTCTCTCAATTGTTCTTCTTTGTCAATATGAACTGCATACAGAAAATGATCTTTATAGATAGATTGCAACACAGAAATCTATAAGATATAATATAATAATACAATTTTAATCTTCACAAGGAAAAAAAAATTTACGTTCGAGTTTAAGTAAACATAATGTTATAAAATTAAAATTTTATTCTTTTATGTGATTTTATATCGGGTTTTTAAAGTTTACGATTTTCTAATTATTTTTAGCCACTACTCAAAATGAAGAGCCAAATTGGTTCCACGATTTAAGGGTCTATTTTGAAATTGTGTAATAGTTTATCAGTTATTCATTTTTCTGGAAAAACCTTGCATATTAGACATTGTTGATATATCTTTAGATGATTTTCGATCTGGAGTATTATTGATATACATTTAGTAAACAATGATGATCAGTTATAGAGTGATCATCTCAGAATGGAATAGCGTAAATAGAAATAGGAGTATCCTATAATAGTAGGATTGATAAAGGAAATAATAATAGTATTGCTAGACAAGGTTGATAAAT